ACCCGTGGAGAAAGTTTAAGTTGAAGAAAATTCTATTGTGTTGATATTAATTATGTGAACATAGCCTGACTTTAAAACATGACTAGAAAGAAATAGGCTTAAATTAATATTTAGTTAATTAAACACTAATTAATATCTTATGTTTCAGGTAGAAGGACTATGTGATGTGACCTATGACAATTAAAGGAGGATAATGGTGATATATTTGTAGTTAAACAAGATTTTTCTATCTTATATATGTTTGAATTAAAATTGTTGGCCTTAATTTGGCCAATAATAGAGATTTGGGAAATTTATAGAGTTAGGGTTTAGATGAATTTTGAAGAAAAACTATTTTCACTATTTTCTTCATTTGACAAAATATTACCTGGCAAATCTACTTAACTCCACATGTCATTTTGGGATTACACTCTAACCATCCATTTGGTTTCGTGACAACTCAAAAATATGTGCAAGTCACATGACCCATTACGAACATTTAGCATACAACATAAAACTCAATTAACTCTAATGTGCTAACAAAGGTTTAATTTCAACAATCCCCCTTGATACTTTGTTCTTGCATGCCCATGAGTTCTCTAGTATACTGAAATTTGTCTTTAAAAGTGCTTTGTTGAAGACGTTCGCTACATGGTCTCGAGTCTTTAAATACTTCACTTGAACTTCTCCATCTTCTACCACTTCTTGAAGTAAATATAACTTAACTTTGATGTTCTTGGTACGATAGTGGAAAGTTGGGCTCTTTGACATTGATATGGCAGATTTGTTATCACAAAAGATAGTAGAGTTCTTCTACCACTTCTTGAAGTAAATATAACTTAACTTTGATGTCTTGGTACGATAGTGGAAAGTTGGGCTCTTTGAAATTGATATGGCAGATTTGTTATCACAAAAGATAGTAGTAGCTTCATCTTATTTTTCACCAATGTCATCAAGTATCCTTCTCCGTATTGCTTGCTTGCTTGCTTGTCATAGTGTCCAAAGCATATTTTGCCTTGGTGAAGGATAACGCTACTCCTCTCGCTTTTTTATGTAGATGAGCATATGACAGATACAAGGTTGAATGTATATCCTGATATACTTTTCACATCTTCTATATGTATGGACCCAACATCATCACAAAACCTAAGTAACTTCAGCTTTGCTCTCTCAATTTTCTTGTATGAGATTAGAAAGCTTTTGGTGCCTTGGAAATATCTCAACACTCTTTTTGCACCATTAAAGTGACTGTTGCTTGGCTTTCGCATGAGCTGTGACAACAAGCTTGAAGCATACACAGTGTCAGCCCTTTAGTAGTTATACATAAGACTATTAATTAAGCTTCTAAAAATGATGCATCGACATCTCCATTTACACCTTTTTTTATAAACTTCTAATTCATGTCCAAGGGTGTTGAAAAATCATTGTAATTCTTTATTTGAAATTTGAGAGAATGCTCTAGGCATACTTGAAAGAAATCATTGTTGACTTTTTTGCTTGACCACTTTGAATATAGCCTTGAGATTTCTTCAAATAGATTTCTTCTTTCAACACTCCATTCATGAATGCTAACATCAAATTGATGTAAAGACCACCTTTGTGTCCCGCCAAAGTAATTAAGTGTGCTTATAGTGTCATGTCGGGCAACTGGTGCAAATGCTTCATTATAGGGCAACTGTGTTCCACCTTTCTGTATCAACGACAACTTTAATTTCGTTCTCTCTCATCCACAACTGTCATTATTTGCCGTTATACTTGAACAGAGAAAATAAAGGACAGAAGCAATGGAAATGTTGCTATAGACTCCTACCACCGTTACAAGGTTTATTCTTGTTAAACATAACCTGATAGCTAATTTTACTTATTATTTGTAATTTGTCTCTCATTCTCAAAATAAAAGCTTTATATTTTTGTTGCAGGAAGATATAGGTTTGATGAAAGACCTGGGTGTTGACGCCTACAGGTTTTCCATCTCTTGGTCGAGAATCCTGCCTGGTAAGTGCTCGTCACAGTGCAATAAAAAGTGATTGTAAAACTCATACCTGTACAATTTGATGCACAAATTTTCTAATATTTTGCAATAGATGGAAAGATAAGTGGAGGAGTTAACCAAGAAGGCATCCAATATTACAACAATGTCATTAACGAGCTCATGTCCAAAGGTGACAGTCTCTTCTCTGTCATCAAATCCCTGATTATCCTTCAATCTGCTGCTAAAAATTTCCTATCCACATATCCAGGCATAGAGCCTTACGTGACAATCTTCCACTGGGATTTTCCTCAAAGCCTAGAAGACCAGTATGGTGGCTTTCTTAGCCCTCTCGTTGTGTGAGTCAATTTCTGTATAAGCTATTTTCCTTTAGCCAGTTGTCTTGGTTTGTAAGGCATAAATTTCTCATTGCATTATTTTTTTGTTCTGTCATAGCGAGGACTTTAGAGAATATGCTGATATTTGCTTTAAGTCATTTGGAGACCGAGTGAAGAATTGGATCACATTCAACGAGCCATGGACATATTGTCATCGAGGTTATGCCGCAGGGATATTTGCACCTGGTCGTTGCTCTCCGTGGGAGGCTGGAAATTGCAGTGCTGGTGACTCTGGTCGAGAGCCTTATATTGTTGCTCATCACCTGATTCTAGCCCATGCTTCTGCTGTTAAGCTATACAGAGACAAGTATCTGGTAATTAATTGAAGCACTCTAAATTATGTTGGTATTTTCTGGCTAAAAACCTAGTTTAGATAATGTAATTACCCATTTTGTCCCTTTTTCTTCATGGATCTGTGAATTCTTCTTGAATTATCCAGGAGACACAGAAGGGTAAGGTAGGGATAACGCTAAACACGAACTGGTTCTTGCCCTATTCGAATGCCAAATCTAACCGAGATGCAGTTGATCGAGCTTTGGATTTCATGTTTGGATGGTGAGTGATTAAAATCAGATCTTAGTTCATACATTTATAACAGCATCAATTTTGAGTTACTGAAGTTCGGTAATTCTTCTCAAATTTTTGTAGAGTTACTTGCACTAGCTAGTAAAACTAGATTCCTAGGGTACACAGTTTTAAGGAATCTTGCAAGTAAGTGCCAGAAGGAATTTTCTGACAGGCACCTAATATTCCAAAGAAGCAGCAGCCACAGCACCGAAAGTGCACAGCCACAAATGTTGAAATGAGGAAAAGAAAACAAAAGGGCGGGCCCCACAGCATAGTAATTTATTATTATTTTATTATGCATAGTGTTTTCCAAAATCCTATAAATAGGCTCCAAATCCTTAAGGAAATCTCATCCCAGAAACAACTTCTTATATAGAAGAGTGTGAGAGAAAAAATAGAGAGAGTATCTCCTTAGAAAGAGAGATTGTAACTCCAGAGTTTTCTTCTCATAGTGAATTCTTCTATCCTTGCCCGTGGACGTAGGCAATCAAGTGCCGAACCACATAAATCTGTGTGTTTAATATTTTATCTCTACTTTTACTCTACTATTGCTGCGACCCTGCTCTATTGGGCCCCGGGTTTGTCCCAACAAGTGGTATCAGAGCCAACTTAGGGTACTTGTATATATCTACTTATCGTATGCTCTGTGGCTGCCACTAAAGGTGGATCCTCCACATCAGAAAATAAGTTAGGTTATCATTTACCCTTTGGAGGTGACGGGTACTATTCACGAGTACAGTACTATTCATAAGTATAGTACTATTCACGGATACGGTTACTGTTCATAAATACAGTACTATTTACGTGAAATAGTAAGAAGTTACTGTTCGTGGTAGAAGCAATGGCGACGAAGTTTAAGATCGAGAAATTCGACGGGAGTAATTTCTCTCTGTGGAAGTTGAAGATAAAGTCTATCTTGAGAAAAGATAATTGTCTAGTGGCCATTAGTGCAAGGCCGGACGACATTACAGATGATAAGAAGTGGAACGAGATGGACGAAAATGCTATTGCAAATCTCCATCTGGCATTAGCAGACGGGGTGCTGTCAAGCATAGAGGTGAAGAAGACAGCAAAGGAGATCTGGGATACTCTAACAAAGCTATATGAGGCAAAATCCAAGCACAATAAAATCTTCTTAAAAAGGAGACTTTACACTCTGAGGATGACGGAATCTACATCGATGACCGACCACATCAACACCCTAAACACACTGTTCTCCCAACTCACAACGTTGGGGTATACAGTTGGTGCGAATGAACGTGCAGAACTTCTACTTCAGAGTCTAGCTGACTCGTATGATCAACTCATCATCAACCTGACAAACAACGTCCTTACAGACAATCTAGTCTTCGACGATGTTGCAGCCGCTGTTCTGGAGGAAGAAAATCGGCGCAAGAACAAGGAAGACAGGCATGCAAGTTCGCAACAAGCGGAGGCCTTATCGGTGACGAGAGGAAGATCAACAGAACGTGGCTCCAGTGGGAGTCATACCCATGGTAGATCCAAATCAAGAAGTAAGAAGAATGTTAAATGCTACAACTGTGGCAAAAGAGGACACGTCAAATCGGAGTGTTGGCACAATAAGAAGAGTGGAGAGAAAAAGTTTTCAGAGCCATCAACATCTCAAGGATGCGTTGTCAGCACATCAGACGATGGTGAAATTCTATCTAGTAGAGCAACCACTGTTGATGAAGGCAGAAAGAGGTTTGCTGATGTCTGGCTTCTGAATTCAGCAGCCTCTTGGCACATGACCTCTTGGAGAGAATGGTTTCACAAATATGAACCTATCTCAGGAGTATCTATATTCATGGGGAATGATCATGCCTTGGAGATTTCTGGTATTGGCACTATCAAAATCAAAATGTTTGATGGTACAATACGCACCATTCAAGATGTGCGACATGTGAAGGGCTTGAAGAAGAATCTATTGTCTTTGGGACAATTAGATGAGCTCGGATGCAAAACTCATATCGAAAATGGAATCATGAAGATTGTTAGAGGGGTGCTTGTAGTGATAAAAGGAGAAAAGATAGCTGCAAATCTATATATGCTCAAGGGAGAAACCATGCAGGAAGATGATTCATGTGTGGCATCAACCAACCGTGGAGAAGAACAAACCATGATGTGGCATCACAAACTAGGCCACATGTCAGAACGAGGCGTGAAGGTTCTCTTCGATCAGAAGCTGCTTCCTGGATTTAATTCGGTAGCTCTTCTATTCTGCGAGCATTGTGTTACAAGTAAGTAGCATCGGCTAAAGTTCAACACATCGAGTTCTAGAAGTAAGACTATTCTGGAACTGGTTCATTCTGATGTATGGCAAGCACCAGTTACATCCTTAGGAGGAGCAAAGTACTTTGTGTCCTTTATTGATGATTACTCCAGGAGATGTTGGGTGTATCCTATCAAGAAGAAGGCGGATGTGTTCTCAGTCTTTAAAGCCTACAAAGCGCGGGTCGAGCTTGAATCTGAGAAGAAGATCAAGTGCTTGAGGTCAGATAATGAAGGAGAATACACAGATGGTGAATTCCTAGCATTCTGCAAGCAAGAAGGCATCAAAAGACAATTCAGTACGGCTTATACTCCACAACAAAATGGAGTGGCGGAGCGAATGAACATAACTCTGTTGGAAAGAACAAAAGCTACGTTGGCAACTGCAAATCTGGAAAAATTATTTTTGGCGGAAGCAGTAAAAACCGCTTGTTATGTGATGAATCGATCTCCATCAACTGTAATACAATTGAAGACGCCAATGGAGATGTGGACTGGCAAGCCAGCTGATTATTCCAACCTTCATATATTTGGATGTCCATTGTACGTAATGTACAATGCCCAAGAAATTACAAAGCTGTATACAAAATCCAGAAAATGTATATTCTTGGGGTATGCTGATGGAGTAAAGGGGTATCGTCTGTGGGATCCCACTGCCCGCAAGGTTATCATCAGCAGAGATGTTATCTTTATAGAGAACCAACTACAAAGTGAAGAGAAAGAAAGTAGTTCGAGGAAGGACTCAGAGACCGTAGCTGTTCAGGTAGAAGATAATCTGAATTCTTCTGAAGCAACACCGGAGCATGATGTACAAGAACCGGTCGAGTCCGAGGCTCCAGAAGTTCGAAGGTCAACTCGTGAGAGAAGACCACCGACTTGGCACTCAGAGTATATTACGGAGAGTAATGTTGCATACTGTCTTCTAACAGAATATGGAGAGCCATCAACTTTTCATGAAGCTATAAATGGCACATATGCATCTTTGTGGATGACAGCAATGTAGGAAGAAATTGAAGCTCTCCATAAGAATAAGACTTGGGAACTTGTGTCACTGCCACAAGGAAGAAAGACCATTAGAAACAAATAGGTCTACAAGATCAAGCAAAACGGCGATGATCAGGTAGAGAGATATCATGCTAGATTGGTGGTAAAAGGATATGCTCAGAAAGAAAGTATTGATTTTAATGAAATATTTTCTCCTGTAGTTCGACTAACAACAGTCCGAATAGTCCTAGCTATGACGCTATATTTGACTTACATCTAGAGCAGCTAGATGTGAAAACAACATTTCTTCATGGAGATCTTAAAGAAGAAATTTACATGCTCCAACCAGAAGGTTTTGAAGAAAAAGGAAAAGAGAACTTGGTTTGCAGATTGAACAAATCTCTGTATGGTCTAAAGCAGGCGCCGAGGTGTTGGTACAAGAGATTTGATTCATTCATCATGAGCCTTGGATACAATAGACTTAATTCAGACCCTTGTGCATATTTCAAGAGGTTTGGTGAAAATAACTTTGTTATCTTATTGTTGTATGTTGACGACATGTTGGTTGAAGGCCCCAACAAAGATCGTATCAAAGAATTAAAGGCTCAGTTGGCTAGGGAATTTGAAATGAAGGATTTAGGATCTACAAACAAGATTCTAGGGATGCAAATTTACCGAGATAGAATTAATAGGAAGATTTGGCTTTCTCAGAAGAACAGATAGAATTAATAGGAAGATTTGACTTTCTCAGAAGAACTATTTGAAGAAAATCTTACGACGTTTTAACATGCAAGATTATAAGTCAATTTCTACCTCACTTCCTGTTAATTTCAAGTTATCCTCCAATATGAGTCCTAGCAGTGAAGAAGAGAGGATGGAGATGTCTCGAGTATCGTATGCATCAGCAGTGGGAAGCTTAATGTTCGCGATGATTTGTACAAGACCAGACATTGCACAAGCAGTGGGAGTGATTAGTCGATACATGGCGAATCCTGGTAAAGAGCATTGGAATGTTGTAAAGAGGGTTCTAAGATTTAGTCGATACATGGCGAATCCTGGTAAAGAGCATTGGAATGTTGTAAAGAGGGTTCTAAGATACATTCTAGGAACCCCAAATGTTGCATTATGTTATGGGGGATCTGATTTTATTGTCAGTGGATATGTTGATTCTGATTATGCAGGTGATCGTTATAATAGCAAATCCACCACAGGCTATGTGTTTGCACTTGCTGGCGGAGCTGTAAGCTGAGTTTCAAAACTATAGTCAGTTATGGCTACTTCAACAACAGAAGCAGAGTATGTAGCAGCTACACAAGCTAGTAAAGAAGCGATGTGGTTGAAGATGGTGCTGGAGGAACTCGGCCATAAACAAAAGAAGATTGCTCTATTTAGTGACAGTCAGAGTGCTTTGCATTTGGCAAGAAATCCAGCCTTTCATTTAAAGACCAAGCACATTCGAGTTCAGTATTACTTCGTTCGTGAGAAAGTGGAAGAAGGAACAGTGGATATGCAGAAAATTCACACCAAGGACAACCTAGCAGATATTTTGACAAAAGCAGTCCATACCGACAAATTTACTTAGTGTCGATCCTCCTGTGGTCTGTCGGAGATGTAAGAAACATGAAGATGGCAAGATAGAAAGAATGGTGTGAAGATATGATTGATGCTCAATCAAATCTTCAAGTGGGAGATTGACAGGCGCCTAATCTTCCAAAGAAGCAGCAGCCACAGCA